CGCCGCGCCCCCCGCAGCCACACGAGGGCCCCCGGAGCCGCCGGCGGGAGCGGAGGCCACGCCGGGACGTCACCGCGGATGTTCCCGAGCCCTCCTGCACGCACCAGCCCTGGGAAGCTCATCCATGCAAGGAGCTCCCAAGAATTATAATAATAAATTGCTGGGGGAGCACTTTGTGGAGATGCAGGGGACCCGGCCAGCGCTGTGGACCTGATGGGCTCTTTCTCTCTCCCCTTTGCTGGGCAGCCAAGGAGGAGGAGGAGGAGGAGGAGGAGGATCAGGAAGCGGGGGAAGCAGCCCAGGGACCCCCAGCGCCTCCCTCTCCCCCCGCCATCCGCAGCCGTAGGAAGAAAGAGCCGGTCCCAAGGATAACATGCTTTGCATTCCTCTGCCGTCGCCAGGGGAATTTCGACTGATCTACATGAAAAATACTTGCTACCCCCGGGGTCAGCGTGTCTGGAGGAAAAAATTTCCTAGCGGAAAAGCTCGGAGGAGCTGGAGGGGAGCGGGGGCGGCCGCCGCGCTGGGGGCTGCCCAGCGCCTGGGATTTCACAGGACAAACCTAATAATTTAATTGCACATTAAAAAGGAATATAAATACCTGTCTGGAGCTGGGGAGGGAGGAGGCTGGGAGAGGAAAACGAAGAGGAATTTAATTAAGGGCAGTGCTGGGAATGTCTGTACCACAGTAAAGATAAGGAGGATCAATTGCTGCTTCCTCAGATCAAAGCAAAGGGTGGGCGGGATGGGGGGGGACCAGGGCTGCCGGGAGGGCAGGGAAAGCCGGGAAAAGGACCTGGGAGAAAGCAGGAGAGGGAGACGGGCACACAAGGTTGCAAAAATAACCGATGGCAGAGCCCTCATGGCAGTGCCGGGCCCCAACAGGGAACACAGTGGGGCTGATTTCTTGTCGGTGGCAGCAGGGGCATAATCGCCTCCCTGTCCGTCTGTCCGTCCATCCATCCATCTATGCGTGCAACCACCAACCCTCTGTCCATTCATCAGTCCATCCATCCATCCATCTACGCGTGCAGCCATCCATCCATTTGTCTGGCCATCCGTCCATCCATCCATCCAACCAGCTGTCTGTTAATCAGTCTAGCCATCCATCTATCCATCATGCAGCCATCTATCCATCCATCCATCCATCCATCCATCCATCCATCCAACCAACCAGCTGTCCACCCGTCCGTCCGTCCATCCATCCATCCATCCATCCATCCATTCATCCATACAGGCTGCCTGGGAAGGGCTGGGAAGGCAGCAGCTGGGCCAGGAGCCGGGCTCTGCTCCGATCCCAGAGCACCCAGCAATGACAGGAGTGGGAAGAGCCGCTTCCCGGCCATGGTTTGGAAGCGTTTCCAGCCGAACCCTTCGTTACAGCCTCTGGATCATGGTTTTGGTCACAGGCTCCGAGCGGCTGAAGGAAACGGCCCCATCCCGGCGCAGGATCAAAGCCCGCGCGGGCGCCACACAATTCCCTTTCTCAGGCTGCTCCCGGCTCGTAGCAAAGTGTCATCAAAAATGGCAAGACTTTCATGTGGGGATTTCTCATCTTCAAAGCGATCGGCATCAAACAGGTAACGCTTGAAACAAAAAAAAAAAAAAAAAAGAGAAGAAAAGAGAAGAGGGCCCCGCTTTGAAGGCCGGGGCGGCTCGGGAGCACCTGAGCTTTGTTGTGTAGCTGCCCTGCAGCCGGGACGTTTCCGCACGGAACAGCCCAAATATGGGCCCGGCGCATCCAGCGCCTCCGCAAGCCCGGACAGCGGTGCCGGGTGACTCACGGCCGGTGGCCTCAGGGCCGGGCAGTGCCGACGGCTCCGGGAATTCGGGAATTCCCAGCCTGGCCCCATCAAGACCTGTCCCTGGGTGCGGAGCAGCTTCCCCTCACAAAGCCTCTTTTCTGCCCTTTTTTTTGCACGGCCCTGCTCGCCCATGCCACAGGGTTGCCCCCAGGATGGTGCAGCCTTGCAGGCTGGAAAATGTTCCATTCGGGCACGTCGCCTTCAGCTTTGGAAGCCGATGGCAGGGAGTGCAGGGAAGCACCGGGAGCTTGGCCGCAGGGGCTGGCGGAGCAGCGGGCTGCAGCGCCGCAGGGGTTGGCAAATCCCAGGAGGGTTTGGAAATCACGAGAGGGTTTGCGGGGATCTGCGGGGAATAAAAGGGAGTCATTAATATCAGTCAAGCCCTGAAAGAGGGGGCAGCTGCCGGCAGGAGGAGAGGTGCTAGAAACAGGGCTGGGGAGAGAAAGGGCCGTTTCCAAGGGCTGCCCCCGGGAATGCCCAGGCTCGGAGCATCGCTCCCGGTGCCAGGCAGGGCCTGGGAGTTGCCGCTGTGGAGGGAAGGGGACAGTCACTGCAGCCACCCCCCAGTGTCTCTCGCACCTGCAGACGGTGGCATCGGTGGCATCACTGCCACGTGAGGCAGGTCTCACAGGCCAGACCTGTGCAGCGAGTTCCAGGCCCCTGACTGTGCCGGTTTTCCCAGTCCCGGCAGCCCGACTCGTTTCCCCATCCCTTGGGGAGCCGCCCGCTTCCCACAGGGGTGACGGAGCCGGTCCCGCTTCCGCCTCCTCCCTGCAGCCGGGGCAAATCCTGTGCTCCCAGCACAGGCTGCCCCGCGGCGCTGGGAACAGCCCCGGTCCCAGCGGCCCTCCGGAAGTGCCACCAAATGCCAAATAAGTGCCCCAAGTCATGGCCAGGGGACAAATCCCTGCAAGGAAAAAGGCACCAGGGCCGGGGGGGGTTCCCCTGCCCATGGAGGAGAACAGGCACAGAAAGCTGGGAATGAGCTTGGTGCAAACAGCTGCAGGCATCCGCGCTCCCTTCGGGAGGTAAGGAAAAGGGAGGATGGAGCAGTCCCATTTCCCTACTTCCTGCACAGGGAAAGGGGATGGGAGCAGGGGCAGCACAGCCACCTCCTCGAGGGGACTTTGCCCTTGCTGAGCTGATGTCCCACGAGCGGCTTTGGAGCGCTCCAGCCTTGCCTAATGGTGCTGGAAGCACGCGGGGAATGCGCAGCGGGGGGCCCGGCGGCACGGGGGGAATTCCTGGCACGCAGGAACGCTGCTGGAGCGGGCAAAGGGCAGCGGGAGGAGGATCCAACAGCTCCTACCAACCCGACTGGAAAGGGGACAGCGTTAGGGCACTTTATAGGCCCATAAAAACAGTTTCAATGGCACAGCAGGGGACGGAGCAGGGAATTGTCGCTCCGTCCTGGGAAAGGAGCTGCGATGCTCCAGGGGCACACAGTGCAACAGAACAGGTGAAGCACAATCCTGGTCCACATTCCGTTTTTAATTTAATCTGTGTTTTCTCCAGCCAACACCGGGGGAAGGAAGGGCGACAGAGCCCCGTGCACAGGGAAGGGACAGGGACAGGGCCCACGAGGCAGCGCGGTGCAAAGGAGCATCTGCAGCCCCTGCCCTCTGCTCCCAGCCCTGCGGGAGATGCCGCCTTCGGGAAGCTTCTCCGAGAGGCAGGAAAATCCAGTGCTGAGGAAGTTTTGCATTAACTAACCACAAGGCAATAAATAAAGAAGTGATGCCTTAGGAAAGGCACTTTTTTTCTCTCCTTCTTCCCCCCTTCCACCACAGTTTGGGGTTTCCTGCAGTGCCGACCCCACCGGCTGCTCTTCCAGGTGGGTTTGGCAGGGCAGGAAGGGGAAGCAGTGGGGGCCAGAGCCCTTGGGCCCTCATTGCCAGTAAATCCAGGGATCCCCAGAGCTTGGGCACCAGCCTGGGGGGCACCATGGGGCCACCCCAGTGCCCTGCTACATCTCAAGCCTGTTTGAGGTATATCACCTGCCCCACGCGTTACCTTGTGCGGCCAACAACAGTGCAAAGGGAACAAGAAAACACAACAAAACCGGACAAGAACTTGCTCCACGCCAGGAGATGAGGAGCCCGTTTGCAACGGGAGGATGGTGCCACCAGGCCATGTCCACAGGGCCCATTCCAACCCCAGGTGCTGGTTCCGAGCAGGGCTGCTGCCCCAGTGCTCCCCGCCGGGAGCCAGGGCTTGGGGACAGGGCACCAGGGCCTCAGCCTTGTCCCCGTGACGGGTGTTGGGGCAGCCGTCCCGCTCAGCTCGGCTTCACGGCCTGCTTGTAGTCCTGGGTGACACCATCACAGCCCCCCGGGGAGAAGCGGCCCTGGGCCAGGGGGCCGGGACAGTGCGTGACCGTCCAGCGGCGCAGCCGGTGCCCGGCCGCCTCCTCCTCCTCCTCCTGCCGGCGG